CCCCTTTTTGGGTTCCTTTATCATGTGCTATGCCACTGAAAACCATTAGCTCTTAAAAAAGAAGGACAAGTCACCAAATGTGACAGAAACAAGCTCTGTCAGTGTCCTTCAGATCCATCTTGAGCTGGCTTTGAGCTCCCTGTAAATTAAAGGGAGTTTCATACAAGAAACCCCATTCATTGCCTGAATGTTGACTTTCCTGGCAAAAATATTTCACCTAGGGAATTGGGAAAGGTAGAGGCAGGTTTAATTTAAGTGTATCTACAGTCCCAGGCTGCAGGTACAACCCTCCAGCAGCTGGTTCCTTCCGCTCAGGTTCTTGTAGCTCCTGTTCTTCTGTTTGCACAAGGCACATTGAAGTGAGTTTCCACTAGAGGAAAGTTTCTTGGCAGGTATGAGGACAGAATTATATTGTAAACTGGAATAATGAGTCTGTGACTGAATGGGGCCAGTAAAGATTGGTACAGAAGCTTTTTCTTTCTCTTTTTTTTTTTTTTTTTAGGCAAACCATTTTTATCAGTTTTGATGTTCACAGAATCATGGGTTTTGGCTCACTGACACATTTACCCAGCCTGTCCACCCTTCACAAGATCTTTTTTATAAAGGGCAATATGCTTTGTAACTGTATTATTTATAGTTTGTATTGCAGGAGCAGTCCCAGATCGGCGTCTTGTTCTGCCGTAATACATGGCCTCACATCCAAGACCTTCAGTCTGGATTTTATACCTACTGAGCATCCCTTACTAAGTAGCAATTAATTAGTCCTGACAGTGCCCCAGACAGACAATTTGTACTGCCTCCTTAATAGCAGAGGGAGAAAGGGAGAGGTTGTTACTGATGAGACATGCAGCAGATGAGCACCAGAGCCAGGGATGGAAACTGCAACTTCTCATTGCTATTGCTAATCCTCAGTGTCACAAGCCAGCACATCACTGACATGCTGAACAGGAACACACTGGATAATTAACCCTTTTTTTTTCATTTTGGCACAGTTACAGGTGGGGTTGAAAAATGCCAGTCCCTGCAGCGAGGACCTTGCTGTCAAAGCCAGGTCTCCACGACAAGACACACTGAGATGATCCCTCTCCGCCTTTGCTTGCAGGGAGTTGGACTCTGCCATGCTGCGGAGGCTGGAGAAGAGGATTCTGGTGGACCTGCCCAGTAAAGAGGCACGGCAGGTGATGATCCAGCACTGGCTACCCCCTCTGAGCAACAGCGGGGGTGTGAAGCTGAGGACAGATCTGGATTACAGCTTGCTGAGCCAGGTGGGAAGCACTGTGACAGGGACAGTGCCTACGTGGTGCTGGAGGCATTTCTGGGCCAGAACTGTGAACAAGGGTTGGGACAGCACTTTGGTGTGGCAGCTGTGACACACAGAGCTGGGGAAGGACCTCAGCTCAGTCTGAGGCTCCAAAGGGAGACTGGCAGGACACGGCGCTGAGCGTGTCACAGGCATGTGGAAATCACTGGTTTCACACAGCTCTGCCTGCAAAATGCTGTATTCTGGTCCTCTCTGTTGGGCCAACTTTTCAGCCTTAAATACAGGGAGACTTCCAGCAACAGCACATTTTATCACTGTTCTCACCAAGCTGGGAGCACTTCCAATTCACCGGGGTAATGAACAGTTAATTGTGTAGGGAAGGTTTGTCACCGCTCCACTGCTGTGGGAGAAAAGAGCATTTGACAGTGAAAAGATTCACTAGATACCCAGGCTCTCTTCATTTAGCCCTTTGTCACATCCTGAATTCTTTGGAAATAGAATCACAGAATCCTGGAATGCTCTGGGTTGGAAGGAACTTTAAAGATCATCTAGTTCCAACTCCCTGCCATGGGCAGAGATGCCATTCACTAGACCAGTTTGCTCAAGGACTCAACACCTAAATATTTTACAGTTTACCCAGTTGACTCATTTGACCTGTGTTCATGGAGAAATACTGCTCAGTTTTGGGTTTATAAATCCTAACAATGAAACACAGGGGTTTTTTAACAGGAAAGATGGGGATGGACACAGAAAGGTGGGTTTTATTTGACCTACAGAAAAATGGGCTTTAAAGAGAAAACGCACAGTATTTTCCTTGCTCCTGCAAGGTATTGTGGGCATTCAAAAGAAGAACAAGCAACATAACTTCAAGAGGAAATTATACACATAAAAATAGATATGTGTCTGTGTGTGTCTGTGGGTATACATATACAGATATTTCAGACAGCAGTAGACTTCACAAATATTTTCTATAAATACATTTACAATATATATGCCTGTAAATGCTATTCCTGTCTAATTTGTGAGCTGTAATGCATTGTTCTGATCCCATCACAGGAAACAGATGGATACTCCGGCTCAGACATAAAACTCGTGTGCAAGGAAGCCGCCATGAGACCAGTGAGGAAAATATTTGATGCTCTTGAAAATCATCAGCCAGGTACCTCAGCTCTGAGCAGAGAATGTCAACTGGCAAATGCTGATCTCCTGCTGTAACTCTAGGAACGATCATGTTAACCCCAGCAGGTGGAGCTCTGATATCTGCCTGGAAAAATTCTAAACTCTACAGATCTAAAACATCTAAATTTCTGAAAATCAGGCCTTCTTTTAAATGTCAGTATCTGTGCTCTCTGCATAAATACAACTTTTGCTTTATCTCACTGCATTAACTCTGTTGTTTCCCTATATTAAGTGTTGCATTAGGCAGGGACATAAAAGAATGTCTTTTGGTAATGATAATACTATTTATTCACTTCTCTTCTCTTTAGGTAACAGTAAGCTGCCCGTGATCCAACTGGACACGATCACAACAGCTGATTTCCTGGATGTGATCACCCACACCAAGCCATCAGCAAAGAATCTAAGCCGGAAGTACATGGCTTGGCAGAGGGAATTTGAGTCAGTTTGACAGAAAACACCCAAAACTTCCAAGACTTCCAAAGTGGCATGTCCTTGCTCCAAAGGATCAGATGGTGATGGGGAAGGAAATGCTGTTGTCTCAGGGAAGAGAAAGCAGTGACAAGTGTCAGAGTGAAATCTTTACTTCCAAAATTTAAGGGTAGGTGAAGGAGTGGTGGTTATTCTTTATTAACCATTTTAATGACCATTCAAAAAACATTCTTCATGGAATTAATGTAATGGCAGCTCCTATGCAACAAAGCCTCCAGCCTTAATTTTATGCATGAAGACTTAAAAGATTGATTGCTTCTCAGTCTTTATTCATGACAACTACATACAGGTTGGAGGTAGAACTGAAGCAGAAAGCTTGAGAACAGTTAGACAATTAGTGTAACTCTCCATTTCCAAGACTCACTAAAGCATCACAGTCAGTGTAGCTGTACCAGCAGAGACTTGCACCCTTCTTAATGAAACATGAAACAGGGGTTTTCAGTGAAACTCAGGACCTTAGCAAGGCTTTGTAGATGAGGTTAGTTTGTCATCGTTTTCAGCTGATGTGTCAAGTGTGTTAGTTTCCTGTTGGTTTGGAGCATTTCCAAGGTGGAAAAGGCAAGGAATTAAGAGGGATACTGTAGAAAATCAGCAGGTTTAGGCTAATGAACTAGAAACTGTACTGGTGGTTACCCACTGGTTCACAGCCAGCCATAAAACAGGATCACAGAATCCGAAATGGCTCAGGTTGGAAGGGACCACAGTGGGTCACCTGGTCCCACCTCCCTGTTCCAGCAGGACCATCCCAGAGCACATGGCACAGGATTGTGTCCAGATGGTTCTGAGATATCCCATCCTCTCTGGGCAACCTGTTCAGTGCTCAGTCACTGCACAGCAAAGTTTTTCCTCATGTTCAGGTGGAGCTTCCTGGGCATCAGATTGTGCCTGTTCCTCTTGTCCTATTGCTGGGCCACACAGAGCAGAGCCTGGTCCATCCTCTGACCCTGCAGACACTGACAGACATTAGTGAGGTTCCCTCTCAGTGTGTCTTCTCAAGGCTCAACAGCCCCAGCTCCCTCAGCCTTTCCTCCTCAGAGAGATGCTCCACTCCCTTTATCACCCGTGTCACCCTCCACTGGACCCAGTGGAGTTTTCCAGTCTTTGCAGTGCAGTGTTAAATACCAGCCACTGTTCTTGCACACACAGTCAGGTGAGCTGTCAGCACTGCCACGTGTCCTGCACTCTTTGCACCAGCGATTCTGACAAGTCACTTCTTCAGGTCTCACCAATGCCCTTCTCTTACCCTTCTTCCTCACCAAGACACTCTTCCCTCTTTGCAGTTCTCCCAGTGTTTTCCTTGTTGTGTGCATCTGCATTCCGAGTACCAGGGTTGTGCATGCTTTCCAGCACGTCCCAGGGCCTCTGAGGCACTGACAGTCGCTTTTAGTTCCGGCATCAGTCACATGTCAAAAGTCTCCATGGGAAATGTCTTCACAGGATTTTGCTTATAGCTCTCCCACCTCCTGAACCTGACTCTGACCCTGGGCCACAGACCTCTCTTATATCCTCCAAGCAGAAACAGGCTCAGAATTGCTGGCACAAAAACTAGATGTGTGAATTTATACAAAACTGTACGTGACAGTGTGTGAGGGCACACAGACAGTATCTAAAGATGGCCTCTGTTCCTGAGGGGTCTCTGCTCCCAGGTAAAAAGTGACACCATGAGAGGAAACAGCCTCAAGTTGTGCCAGGGGAGGTTGAGGTTGAATATTTGGAATAATTTCTTCACTGAAAGGGCTGTCCAGCTCTGCAGAGGCTGCTCGGGGCAGTGGTGAAGTCCTCATCCCTGGAGAGATTTAAAAGCCATGTGGATGTGGCACCTGGGGACATGGGTTAGTGGTGGCCTTGTGCTGGTGAATGGTTGGACTTGATGATCTTAAAAGGGCTTTTCAAACCTAAATGATTCTGGGTTTCTACTGCAAAATCTGCAAAATCCATCCACACATTCTGTCTGTGACAGAGATTAGATCTGAATGTAGTAACCACCCACCAAGTGAGGCTGCAGAGAGAGGCTGTCACATGTCAGGAAATTCATTCATCACAATGGTTTTGTTTAACAAGAACAAGCATGGCTCATTAACACAAAACTGTATTTTCAATAAGGTTAATACTCCAGTAATGCATAATTACAATCTAATAATTTAACACTCAGGAGCACTGTAAAACAACTGTAAAGGACTTTGATTATTACAGTTTGCAAATGGACCAGAAAAGCCATTTACCATCATTACAAAGTTGGTTCATATTGGGGGATGTAGAGCATAGGAAAAGCATTGCATGAAACAGAATTAAATTTCATTTTACAGCTCTGCTAACCAACTGTAAAAACTGGAATGTGTCCCCATGGCTCGTGAAGGATTTTCCCCATAACATTAAAAAGAAACAAAAAAATCCCCAACAACAGTGAAATTTTGCAACTGCAGCACTAATAGGACCCTGCTGAAGCCTAGTTTTAAAAAGTCACAGTCTCTGAGGCATTTAATACCAGAGTTTTGTTTCTGTATCATTCTTTTTAATAACAGCATCTAATTAAAACATCTGTAAAATGCTGACAGTTTTTAATTTTATGTAAAATTTGAAAAACAAAGAACAGGATCTGCTGTAATGAGAGGAAAGACAGCCACAGTAGTTATTATTAAGCAATAGTGGTACTTTAATTTAAAAGTCACTTCTAAATGTGCATAATCTCTACCTTTAAGTAAGAGCTCAGTGAAATCACTACAGGCCAACTAAGCCTCTGTTACTGTTGGTATTTTCAGTGCATGTTTTCAGAATAAGTCTCACTTATTCTGCAGAAAGTGACGCTTTCCAGAGAAGGGCTTTTCATCAGATATTTCCTGAAAACTGAAGATGAGCAGAACTCTGCCACACTCCCTGTGTGTGGTGACTGTGCTGGGCCCACTCAGACCCTCTGCCCCTCACTCTGCAGGCAGGTTTCTGATGCCACACATGCAATGACTGATCTTGGGACCTTAATTTTTGAAGCAAGAATGAAGGAAATTATATGAAGCAGATGGTCCTCCAAACCAACTACTCCCTTTCTCACAGCATACTCTTTAGGATGTGTTCCACTGCCTCTGGGAAACTCTCACAGGTTAAATAGGGAGCCGGATTGATTTTGTCTTCATCTGCCGGTCGATATTTACCTGTAACAGATTAACAAAATGATCCATTTACCAGGCTCCTCTGAGTATCCTTTTTTATTTTTTTTCCCCCTGAAAATTAGAGCCTCCTCAAATCAGTACCAACCAGGCAGGAGGAGTGCCCATCTGAGGTTCTCCTGCAACAAACATCCCACAAGGCTTCCCTAAACATACACCGAAGATTCCTCCAGGGGCAGCTGTGGCTCTGAATTACAGTTACTTATGCACAGGTTCACAATGCAGTACTGGAACTGTTCTCTCACTGACTGTTCATACGTCCATGCTGAAGGTTCTTGAAATATTAATGTTATTTTCACTTTTATAGAATCATAGAATCCCAGAAAGGTTTAGGTTGGAAGGGACCTTAACATTCATCTTGTTCCACCCCCTGCCATGGGCAGGGACACCTTCCACTATCCCAGGGTGCTCCAAGCCCCGTCCAACCTGGCCTTGAACACTTCCAGAGATAGGGCAGCCACAGCTTCTGTGGGCAACCTGTGCCAGGGCCTCTCCACCCTCCCAGCCAAGAATTTCTTCCCCCTATCTCTAACCTGAATTTCATCTTTTTCAGTTTGAACCTGTTACTCCTTGTTCTATCACCACAGTTCCTGATGAAAAGTGCCTCTCTGAAGACTCTTCTGAGGAACAGCAGGATTACTTCCTTTCATGTTCAACATAAGTGTAGCATGAGCAACAGCCACCTCAGAAAGGCCTCACCCAGTCCACGGTACCATCAGTAACACCATCAGTCCCTTCAGGTTCCTCTCTTATCCAAAGCAAAATTATGCTCGTAGTGACCACTGTAATTCCTAGGTGGGCTGTTACAAAGCACCAGGGCTGGCCACAGGGTGCCTTCACTCTGGGCCCAGGGGCTGCAAGTATCCAGAGTGAGATCACTGAAATCACCACCATCTCCCAAAATGACTGATATGTCGACTACTTACCTGTCCTCACCAAAATCCCACGCATGCCCGCGTCCTGGGCACCACCAACATCATCCCTGCAGTCCTGGGGCAGAATAGAGAGCAACTGGTTGGTGGGCATGGACACTTCCAGAAAAATTTCTGCTTTGCACATCACTTAAAAGTAGCGACATGGAATTGAAATCTTTTAGCTGCGTGTCAGTGAAACTGTCACAGGAGTGGTTTGCTGAGTGCTTTTTGCCCCATCAAACAGTGGTGAAATAAAGAGAACCCAGCCCAAGTATTACCCATTAAGTCCTGTAAGTTTTCATGGAAATGTTTAGGCTGGGAATGACCTCAAAGATTGTCAAGTCCAACCATTCCCCCCGCACTGCAAAGGCCACCAGTACCCCAAGTGCCACATCCACACAGCTTTTAAATCCATCCAGGGATGGGATTCCACCACTGCCCGGGACAGCTGTGCCAGGGATGGACAACCCTTTCCATGAGGAAATTTTCCCAATATCCAATCTAAACCTCCCCGGCACAACTTGAGGCCATTTCCTCTTCTCCTGTCCCTTGTTCCCTGGCAGCAGAGCCCAACCCCTCCCCTGGCTCCCCTCTCCTGTCGGAGAGTTGCAGAGCCAGAAGGTCCCCCCTGAGCCTCCTTTTCTCCAGGATGAGCCCCCCCAGCTCCCTCAGCCGCTTCTGCTGCTCCAGACCCTTCCCCAGCTCTGTTCCCTCCTCTGGACACACAAAGGGGGGGTGATTCCAAAGGGTGGAACCATCCCTTTGCAAGCAGTGTGCACAGTGGAGATGAGCACTGTGTCAGTGAGCAGGTGATGAGGGTGTTGGTCCCCACGTACATCTCCGATCATGACAGCCTCCTCTGGGGCACAGCCAGTCCCCCTCAGGGCTTCCAGGAAGAAAGTTTTCTCTGGCTTCCCCACCACCGTCGCTTTGGTGTCCGTCGCGTATTCCAGCCCTGTCACAAAAGGCCCAGGTCCCAGAGACAACCCATCTTTCTTCTTGAAATACCTGGCTTTATGGATTGCTATAAGAGGAGCCCCGTCCAAAATCAACCTAAAGAATGAATGAAGAAGAAAGCACAAAATATTAAAGAAGTTATATTTACAGCTGAAGGCCTCAATGGCTTTCACAGAAAGGTTTGGGTGGGGAGGGACCTTAAAGCCCATCGAGTTCCATCCCTCGCCATGGGCAGGGAAACCTTCCACTATCCCAGGTTGCTCCAAGCCCCGTCCAACCTGGCCTTGGACACTTCCAGGGATCCAGGAGCAGCCACAGCTTCTCTGGGCAACCTGGGTCAGGGCCTCACCACCCTCACAGGGAAGAATTTCTTACAGGTATAGGATAAATCATTTGACCTTAACTTTGTATTGTAACATGGAAGGAATTACAGTAACAAGTTACATAACCCACAAAGCTATTTGCTGCATTCATGTCCCACTCAATTCCCCAGTTAACAGTGCTATTACTGAGCCTGTTAGGAACAAAGCTGGATTAGAGCTCCTTCCTTTTCCTCACATCAGACACAGCAGCTCCCTGTCCTGCAGGGAAGGGCAGCCTGTGTAGCTGCTGCACTGCAGGAACCCTCCTGGACCACGAAGCACAGCCATGTTACTACAGTTCTCCCCCCTCCCCACGTTTCAGTGCAACAAGAGCCCTCCAGACAGCATCTGTAAAAGCTGATATAATGAGTGCCAAATGCTTCCCCTTCCATGCTACACCTTCTCCAGGTACAGCAGGTCATTCCAACAGGTAGGAGTAAGGAGCAAAGCTGGGGGATAGAGGAGAAACACTGGCTGTTATCCTCGGGGCAGAAAGGAGGATTCCTCTCCCTCTTAACACCACCTGATTTACACAACAAAACAAAACAAAACAAAAAAGCCTTTAAGAAAACAAACAAAATCCTGCTGTGCTCCTGTTGCTTGAGGCTGGCTGAGGTGAGCTGGATGCTCCTTGGAAGTGGTCTGCTCCTTCCTGCCTGCTTGCAGAGCAGCCTGGCTACTCTGAGCAGTAGATAAATGAAAATACTTCATTTCACTTCATTATCACAAAACACCTCTGTTAAATCAATGCATTCCAAAGCAAGCTCAAGCAGAAGAGAGCTGGTGTGTGTATCTGTGAGCAGCCAGACACTGTTCACAATGGGAGGATGCCTCTAGGACACAGAAAAATTTAATTTGACAGCAGCACCACAACCACTACATACAGCAGTTTGCAGGGAAGATCTCACCTGAGAGAATTCTTTTAAGCGTGGCATCAAAATCCCATGTACACAAAAAGAGAAATTTAGTCTCAGTCATTTCAAATGGTGCCTGGAGAACGGCCTTACTCTGTGCACCTCGTTTGGGGACTCATGTTGGGTTAGATTTACCTAATGTTGGGTGTCAGTGGAATAGCTGCCTACCAGATAATTAGTCAGCATGGGCTCTTCACAGCCAGTGCAGAGGAAAATGCACTTCTAGAGCACAGTTCAACTGTCCTATTTTAAGCACTACTAGGGGAAAAATGCCTTACAAGTGCCTCCTCCTCCCTCCAGAGCCCAGGCACCTGCACTGTAGATACCTGCATTTAATCAGATTCCCTTCAAAGTTTTGCAATCCCAGTGCAATTCCACTTGCAGTGCAAATCCCAACTGACTCAATCACCTGAGCAGTAAAGGAGAAGGAATATAGACATGGCATAAGACTCAATAAAAAGAGAATGTGGCTAGTTTTTCCATCAGGCCAAACAGAATTGACACCAGCAAAAGTTTACCCTCAATAGAAGACTGGGGAAAACACCCAGAACAAGTCAGTGAGGTGTTACAGATCAGACAAAGCCAGTCCTAGGGCCTCTGCAAAGCCTGAAACACAAGAAAGCACCAGGCAGAGCCAGGCCAGGTTCACAGAAGATGAAATCTTCCTCCAGGCAGACAAACCAGGAGTGGCTGGGAATGTGTCTGCACAAGGCAAGGAGAGCTGAAGGACTCAGCCTTGCCCAGCTCTCAGCCACACCACCCAGGCAGTGCTGGGTACGGGGTGCTCAGGCAGCACACCCACTGTTACCCATAATACCTCTCCCATGGGCACCAAGGCCATGCTGCATCCGCTGCCCTCTGCAGGGGACTGGATTTGGCCCTCAGCACTTTCCTTCCATCACCAGAGCTAGCATCCAATTCTATGCTTATTGCATAAATCCCAAATCCATCCTGGGACAACCTCGCCCACCCCAACAGGGCCAGTTCCACAGGCACTCCCACATAACCTGGGAGTCTGGAACCCTCAAGAGACTCTCCATGCCATCACTGGTTTCTTGTTTTAAATGCCCTGATCTCCGGCCCCAGGCAGCAAATGGATATGATTCAACAGCTAATATAGTCAGGACAGAAATATCAATAAATGAAATTATGTAAGCCCCGGGACACACCATGGGTTAAGCTCATGCAGTTGTGAAATTGGAGTCCACTCATGACTGCACTGTAAAACTCCAAAATCAATGCCTTTGGCAACATGCACCGAGGCAGAGGCGGTTTGGGTCAGTATGTGTTGTTATGACACATAATTGGCAGCAGATAAGCACAGCACTGGCCTCCTACCCCAAGGAAGATACTGGTCAGCAGTAATTTATACTCCCTTTTTGGATTTTGTGGTTATAAGGACAGATTAAAGTGCTTGAGATCAGGGTTTTTACCAGATTTCAAGGTGCAAAACTGTGTGGTAGCCACCATCCCATTGAGCAAAAAGAGTGGAGAGGACTCATCACATCCATCACCCAGGCTACACTCAGTAACAGGCTCACGCTCAAGCCTCTTCAAGCTGAAGGTTTTTGGAGTTAAAAATCAAGGGTGTGGTGTCAAGCTAGAACCAGAGAGAAGGAAACAAGGCTCTGCACACACTACTGCAGGCCTGGCTCACGGATGATGACAAGCAAATTTAGTCTGATTTACCCTTTAGTCTATGGACAAAACAAAGAGTTTTAAAAATAAGACACTCTGGATCAGCTCCATAGTTCACCTCACCTCACCCATGTTGTGCTGGCCACTCCTGAACAGAAGATGATTCAGAAGATATTGCTGGATATCCTGCATTATGTAGGTAAGGAATAATCTGCCCTAAACACTGGATCTCGTTCCCTATAATATTTGGGATCTGAAGGCTGGGCTTTGAACATGGAAGCTCTCTCTCCTCTTGGACAAGAGGAAACAGCCTCAAGCTGTGCCAGGGGAGGTTCAGGTTGGACATCAGGAGGAATTTCTTCCTGGAAAGGGTGGTCAGGCATTGGAAGGGGCTGCCCAGAGAAGTGGTGGAGTCCCCATCCCTGGAGGTGTCCAAGGAAGGACTGGCTGTGGCACTCAGTGCTCTGGGCTGGGGGGGAACTCAATGGTCTTGGAAAGCTTTTCCATCCTATCTGATTCTGTGGTTCTGTGCTTGCTTCCCCACATCCTTGCTTTTGTGTATTTCCTCTTGAGGCATTGCTAACTTTGCCACCTCCCAGTCACAGTGGTGACTGTACTTCTGCAGTTTATTTACAGACTGAAAGCTGTAAAAATGAGGTTCTGGGCCACCTGAAGCTCATGGTGACGGCCCCAATCCACCAGGATGAGTGGCTCTTTCACACCCTGCTCAACAGTGATATTCCTACCCCCCTCTTCTTCCCACAGGAGAAGGAATTCCTCACACATGCAGAGGTTTAGAGCCCAGCACAAGACAGCCACCACCCAAAATCCCACGAGGGGCTGCCTTACCGAAATGCCCTGTTCATCATCTCGTAGTGGAAGTGCTCAGGAGCCAATCCCACCACCACTGCATTGGGGTCATCAGTGCCTATCCCTGGAAAACCAGAACACAACTCTGAGTGAGCAGAGTTCAATTCACACTTAGCAGCACACAGTCAGCAAGTGCATTTAATCACTTTACAGAGTAACTAAGAGACTGGTTTTTATGTCTTTTAAGAATGAAGAAAGCATTGTGGAAAAGGTGTTGGCCTATCCAGACTCTGCAATCCTCCAGGATCAACACAGCTCTGGAGCTGAACAGTCTTAAAAACAACTGTTGAATGATTGTCTCACTGCCTCCCTTGAAATGCAGCAGACCACACAAATCCCTCTTTTAACTGAATGATGTTATTTGAGTCTGTTATTTGAGAGCCCCTCTCTACATATATTTATCTGCTTTGTAAGACAAGCAAAGCAGGAAGGCTAGTAAATTTCACCCAGTTTTTCTATTCCCTTTTGTCCCAGAAAAATTCACTGAGGGTCTAAAATCTGTCTCTTGTTCCATTATCAAATTATTTGATACCAAGCAAACGTGGTACTGCAGCATGACCTAGAAGTTGTTACTCGAGATTAGTGTGGGCTCTTCTGAAAGGTCTTTTTTTTTAATGTGGATTTAGTCCCCTAGAGAACAGCCCCTTTGTCCTCCACTGCTCCTGAGGAGCAGGACTGTTTTTGCATGTCAGTGCCACCTCTGAACAGAGCCAGCAATGGAAGCAGAGCAGCAGCAACAGGACAAACAGTTTTATTAATGACACGTCATCGGCTGCATCCTGCACTTGCTGTGGGTTTTGTTCCACCTTCAAACACACCAGAGTTGCCCTGTGGATCTGTGACACCACCCAGAAGCATCTGGGTCCTTTAACCAAGAGTGGATTACACTCATATGTGACCAACTTTGTAGAGAGATTGGCCAGGAACAGCAGCCAACAACAGGAATTTGAAGCATTCTGCACTGTACTTAAATGTTTCAAGAGCAGCACTGAAAACAGGGAAGCAGCCAAACCCTTTACAGCAAAAAGAGACAAAACAATCCACTCTAGACCCAGGCAACACCAACGTACCCAAATGACATCTCTGTCTGTTCCATCTTTTACAAAATTAGCATCAGTGACTGCAAAACTGATGGAAAGGTCCCCAAAACCACAGAGATTAAACTGATTTAAACGCTTTCAGCGAAAGAGCTGCTGTCTCTCCTGTTTCTGACCCAAGAAAGCCTTCCTGAGAACACAAACACAGAGTATTGCTGGGGGCATACTTCTCTGGATACAATGTTAGGCAGAGCAGATTATCAGGTTTCATTGCTCTCATGGCCGCAGAGCCTCTTCCCTTTAACACGTGTATCTGGAGATTACTGACTACCGCACTAAAATTTAACAGGAAATTTCTAGATCCTGGCAAGATTAGAACCTACTGAAATTATGCAGCCAGAGGGATTTCAGTTTTGTAAGACAAGGGGCAAGGAGCAGTGATAAGCCACCCACATTCCTGCTGCCTAGACTTTAAATGAAAAATTGAATATATAGTTTTTCAATTCTGAGTGTGTTAAAAACACGGTTATCTTCACTACTCTCGAAACAATGACATGGGTCTAACTTCAGGCCCCTGCCAGACATATGAAAACATACCATCTTCTACTTCCCTTACTGCTGAGGGAGGGAAATGGGAACATCTGAAAGCAAAGCAGGTTTCCACCATGTCTTTAGAAATGACAATCTAGAAATGTAGGGGTGGGGAACCTCCTGCCACGAATGAAGGTATCCAAGTACATGGGGTGAGACCCAGATGTTCAACACAAGATAAGCAACAATAACTACCTGGAGATTTTGCATTTAGTAATAGTCTGTGAAGAGAGAAACAGCCTCCTGCATGGCCTACACACTGTTTTTTCATCTCTTTATTAGAAAAGCCTCTGTTGGAAATCAGGTATTGCACAACCTGACACATCCTTGCTATAAAAAAACCCAGCCCTGGTAGGTGCAATAAATCTCCAATAACCTACTGCTAACTATTACTGGTATTTTTTTTTACACTGGAAATTAATGGAAAGTACTGAGTTTTACCCAAATGACTCTGAGATAAGCTCAGTTGTTTAGAGCATGGTGCTAACACCACCAAGGTCGTTGGTTTGATTCCTGTATGGGCCATTCACTTAATGCTTGGACTTGATGATCTTTGAGGATCCAACTCAGAATATTCTGTGATTCTATTTGGAGGCCTCGGCTGCCATTTCCACTGCTCCTTCAAGAAGCTATGACTTCAGGCTGTTTAATTTAAAAAGAAGACAAGTCTATGCATGACAGAGAGCACTATGTTTCCTTAGTTGTTCCCCAATTTCCCCTCTTCAGTTCCGAGAGCCCCTCACCTGTGAAGTCAGGCAGGGCCTTGTCGTCCACCAGGAGCAGAGGCCGCACGTGTTTCTGCTCCAGGAGGTTCCTGGCTGCTGTCAGGGACGTGAAGATCTCGTTCTCTGCAATGTCAAAGCCCAGCCTCGTCAGCCTCTCCAGCAGGTCCCTCTTGCTCTCCTTGGTCGTGTTGGTCACGAACCGGATGGTGACAGGGGCACTGCGCAGCCTGTGGGGGAACAGCACACCCAGAGCGGCCAGTGTGAATCACGGCCAGCAATCCTTCTGTTTGCACACTTGTACTTCTCTGTGGGGCTAAAAAAGTACCCTCTGTGGCTGCAGAGGAAAACACCAGAGCACTGGTGCCACACGAGAACTTCTGTGGGCTGGAGGGTAGCGTGAAGCAGAGAGCAAGAACTACAGCTACCAGGGCAAAACAAAGCCTTCCCCCAAGCCCTCTTCCCCTTCTCCCACGAAAATTCCAGAGGAAAGTGGTGATTCCAAGCTCCACCTTCACAGCAGTAGCAAACACATCTGTGATCAACAACTAGTTTGAAAAGCCTTTTAATTCAAACCAGATAACAAATAAACCAGCCCCACATTTTTGATCAACGGCACCCTGAACCAGAAATAAACAAACCAAAGAAGCTTGCTGCTAAATTAATACACTGAACTCCACGTGGTGGGTGAATTCCCAGCAGCTGTGCCTCGCTCTGAGGTGTAGGATGCTCCAGGAACCTGTGTTACCGTGATGGTGGTTTTATGTCAGCTTTCGCAGCCATTTCTCCCCTTCCTGAGGAACACCAGGATCACATAAACCCACATTATTGCCCTGCACTGACAGTACATGCTACCAAACAATCAAATAATTTTAAGTAACAGTTTCAACAGCGTTTCCTTTAATTATTCCCCCACCATCACTTTCTCTGTTGCTATAGGAACAAACACAGGCATCAGGACTGCATGGAGAACATCAGAATAAAGTTGGTCAGTCCTGGAGACTTTGCTTGCACCTGCCACTTTCTTCTCATTTGTTAGATACACTGACCCTGCACAGACATGAACTGGTAAAACAGTCCCCTGGCTGGTACTAAAATAAAAATTGATACTATTTTTTCCTGTGGACCTCAATACTGAGAAGAAACCCTAAAAATGGCATCTCTCCGTTTGCTCCAATGCCAGTCATTCCAGCTCCTCTTCAGGAAGGACAGTGACATGGATTAGCAGAAAAGAACATGAGAAAATAATTTTTTTTTCAAAACTTTAGGGAAAAAGACCTGAATCTTAAGGTGTCCTCCCTCATTCACCACAACAGCATATATCAATCACTCTGTGGCTTTTCCTAATCCATTACAAGAGGTCTTCTCCAGGAAAACAGTGTCATATCATAGTACAAATACTCCTGGGATTGTGTATCCTATTTCACCACTGACTTGGTCAGATTAAATCATTTTGCTATGCCTCAGTTTCTTTAGGCACCCTTTCATCACAAGAGCAAGAGGTATTTAATTCTCCTTTTTATTAATATATCAAAATTCCTACAAAAGACAATGAGCTGTATTATCAAACGTTTCTCAAACCAAAAAATTACTAGGTTGTTTACCTAGCAGAAAGAAACTTTAAAAATAATAATAAAGAAAAGTCTTGTCTGAATGAAATAAGAATTCTGCAGAGTCTGCCTTGCTCACTAGGCCAAGCTTTTCTGCTATTCCATTTTAGCTTAGCACAGATCTAAGGGCTCTGACACAGGATCAGGCTCCTGCAGTTTCACAAAGCCTCGAGAAACAGCTCAGCTGAAGTGATTTTGTGTAAGTGGCGTAATTCAGGTGAACTCAACTGCTCTCCACTTTGGCTAAGGCTGTAGTCATATGTGAATCAGTGGAAAGACCTTGAATATTGAGTTTTTTCTACGTGGAAAAGGCTTAGAAAACACACAGAGAGCCACTCAGGAAAGCTGAATTTTCTGAGTTGTCTGGGTGTTAATGCAGGTGTAAATAAAAGCAGAATTTGGCCAAGTCTTTGCTTGCCACAACAGCGTGAAAAAGGCAGAGGCTCCAGGGCTCACCTAGAAAAGAGACTTTGTGGAAACAGCGCTGACACAACCTGCCAGAGGAAATAAAAAAAAAAAAAAAAACAACAACAGAAAAACAAAGAGGTAAAACTTGCCTTTTGAGAGCCTCCTGGGCGCCTGGCACAGCCGAGTCCTCCACGTGAAGTGTTCCATTGAGATCCACCAGGACGGCTTTGAGCGCCCGCCGCGCTGCCATCGCCCCTCCCCTGGGACACAGGAAAACAAATGAAACCACAAGCTGGCTTAGAGACAATGGGCAATAAAAGCAAGGAGCTCAGTTAAGCGCCTCGTTTGTGCCAAGCCCGGTATTACTCACAACATTACTCCCAGCACTAAATGGGCCTCTCTAGACTGGGGGGAAATAAGAGGCAGCGCTTAAAAAAAAAACAACCACAAACAACAATAACAAAAAGAAACAAAAAAAAAAGCCAACATAATTGATGGAGAGGTGTTTTTTTCTCCCAAAGACTCTGTATATGGAAATCAGGTCCTGTTTGTTTTTTAAGTGCCTTTATTTGCGAGTCGAAAGGAAAAAAAAAATTCTCTGAACAGCTCAAGAGTGTTGAGAAGAGGATCATTAGGTCTGGTATTGCTGGTTCAAGGCCTCAGCAAGCACATTTCAGCAAGTCCCACCTACGCCCGACGGGGCTGCTGAAGTGAAAATAAATACACACTGCTCTCGTTGTAAAGCTCCAAACGCTCCGCCGAAGTGGATGTTGTTAATTTTTATTTCTGTAAGCAAGATCGAGGGTGATCCAGCCCAAACCACGCCCTGGGAGCCCTGACTTTGAGGCTGTTTGGTGGTGACAGGGTGGAACTTGCAGGTTGTTACACCCATCAGCACGAGTCCAACTCCTGGACCTGAACAGGACACCCCAAGAATTATTTATTATTCTTCTATTATTATTATTATCATTATCATTATATAATATCACTTACTATTATTTTATCTTTTACCTTCAATTATTATTAATAATAATATTAGTCATACTTATTATTTTATTATACTTTCAATTTACTGTTATTTTATTATCTTTTACCCTAGATCTCCATGGGTTCTCCTGTTCAAAGGGTATTTATCTAAAAAATATGCACGTTGCCTGCAGAGCCAGTTTTCAGCACAGCCTAATTTTAAGGATATCACTCATGGCCTGGCAAGAAAGTCCCAAAAAACCACTCCAGAACCTCAGTTTTCATAATCACAGCCCCACAAAAATTCACCTGGTCAGGACAAAGGGACCCCCCAGCCCAGCTCCCACCTGGTCTCAGGGGTCATGGATACCCAGCACCCCAAAGGGCTGGTCCCTGTTCTCTCAGATGGGACAGCCAGGCAGGTTTTTTTACAGCGAGCTTCTGGGTCACACAAAAAGGTACAAGAGACTCAGCCCATAATAAGAGCCAGCATTTGAAGGGCACAGGCACTGCGGAAGGAAACAGCAAGTCACCTGGATAAAATCCAGCCTTCAGAAACAACTCTTTCTCCTCACGTGAGCTCCAAGTGCTGCCTTTTGCTCCAAAAGCAAGCCCTGCTGAGCTATTTCTTAGAAACTGTCCAATACAGACACACACACATCTGTTCATTAGACAATAACAACTATTGGAAAGGCTGGGAGAACTGGGATTGTTCAGCCTGGAGAAGAAGAGCTTTGGCATGACCTAACTGTGGCCCCTTCCAGTGCCTGGAGGGAACCAACAAGAAACACGGAAAGAGACTATTTACAAGGGCCTGGAGGGACAGGACAAGGGGGAATGGCTTCCCACTGCCAGAGGGCAGGGTTAGATGGGATATTGGGAAGGAATTCCTGGCTGTGAGGGTGATGAGGCCCTGGCACAGGTTGCCCAGAGAAGCTGTGGCTGCCCCATCCCTGGAAGTGTCCAAGGCCAGGCTGGACGGGGCTTGGAGCAACCTGGGATAGTGGAACATGTCCCTGCCCATGGCAGGGGGTGGAACTGGATGAGTTTTAAGGTCCCTTCCAACTCAAACCATTCCATGAATCTGTGATCTGTCACCACTAGCAAGGGATTACAGTTTTTCCGTTGAGCTGTTTTGGTTACAGACAACATGCGACGTGTTTTTACTTCTAAAACACACACAGGCTAGAACCTGCCTCAGTAAATTTAAATTTCCCTCAGTTTCATCTTTGCAGACAGTTTAATCAATGATCCTGTGACGTTGATGTCCCAGCTACAAGACAGACACACACAGAGAAAACTTTGAGCCCCTACATTCATTTTCCCTGCTGATTCTCTGCAGTAAGAAAATAAATAAAAATGCCTATTTTACAGTATTCTCTGTTGCTACAAAGGACCAAAGTTAAACGCTTATGATACAAAGCTGGCAACAGAACTCCTAAAGGAGCCTCATCACCTCCATGGGGAAAGAGGGCACCTCAAGAATAAATAATTTCTGTTGTTCTTCTATTATTAATAATAATAATAATCTATTTATTAATTTTTATAGCGCCTTTATTTTTAATTACTATTATTTTACTATCTTTTAGCCTAGATCTCCATGGGTTCTCCTGTTCACAGGGTATTTATCCAGCAAATAGGCAAGTTACGTGGAGAGCTAGTTTTCAGCACAGCATAATTTCAAGGATAACGCTCATGGCCTGGCAAGGAAGTCCTAAAACACCCCGGAACCTCGTTTTTCACAATCTCATCTCAACGAAAACTCACCTGGTCAGGACAAAGGGACCCCCCAGCCCAGCTCTAGGACAAGGACACGAGGGACACAAGGCACGACCTAAGGGAAAGAGGGGTATATTATATAATTATATATGTGATTATATACGTGGGGAGGATGCTGACGGCACAGGTCAGCACCCGCCGTGCCCTCCCGCTCCACACAACCCCCCTGCGCATCCCCCCGCGAAGAGATGGTACCGCCTCTCCCCGCCAGCACACAACGGGCAGACGGGACGGCCCATTCGCCACCGGGGGAACCCCAAGCGCGGCGGGCTCCCCTCTTCCTGCCGCGGATGGTTCCGCCCGCCCGTTGGCGACCGAGGGCGGCGGGCGCGCCCACTCTGAGGAGGGGGGTGAGGGCCGCGGCTCCCGCTTCCCCCCCGCGGCACTGACCTGCTCCCGCCGCCGCCGCCGCGCTCGGCCCGACGCGCTGCGGGGCCCTCGAGTGCCGCGGCCGCCCTGCCCAGTGCCAGGGCCGCCCGCCGCCGGCACGGCGTGTAAAAATTATAATGTGATTTTTACCGTTGTAAATAAACACCGACCTCGGCCCTCAGGGAGTGGGGTCGCCGGTCGGAGCCTGGCAGTCGCGACAGGCAGCGCGGCGGGCAGCCCGCGGGGCCCTGAGGGCCCGAGCCGCCTCACAATATGGATGTTTTTATAAATTATATAAATTACATTAATTACATCAATTGTGGCCATTACACCAGTATTATTACATCCAATGCTTATCTTTTTTATCTGATGTCCTGTTTATAATCATATCGTATGTGGATATGACAGTAAATTATATAAATTATATCTATGGGTGTGATAATGAATTATATAAATTATATCCATTATCTCCTATATGGATACAATTATACCCATATCCATACACTATGGACATCCATAATACATATATTATTAATATATCCATAATCCATATGTTATGGATATTTTATAACCCATATATCATGGATATATTTCATCTTATATGGATATTACATATAATAATAATAATATAATGATGATGATGTACCCATGTATGGATATATTGATTATATACAACTGCATATAACATATAAAATAGTATATTATTATGTCCATACATAGATATATCTATAACCATAACAACATATATACAATACTATATGTTTTATATATAAATAAAAGCTTTATATATACTTATATATATGTTGTTATATGTTTTATATAGTCCATATTTATGGAAGAAATTTTTCTAAGCACATATATTATATAATTATAGATATTTAGTTATATCCATAATAACTAATCCACTTATTATATCCTTACATGGATATTATGATTATATATAACACGTTCTATCCGTATATACATATATTATATCCGTAATATAACCATTTTAAGATAGATAGATAGGATATTAGGAAAAAATTCTTCTAATTACATATATATAATATTATATATATAATTATATCCATACTATATCCATAATAACTGATCCACTTATTATATTCATACATGGATAAGATTATATTGATATTCCAGGCTGCCCAGGGATGTCGTGGAGTCTCCCTCGGAGGGGACATTCCAAACCCAGCTGGACCTATTCCTGTGTCACCTGGTCCAGGTGACTTTGTCTTGGCAAGGGGATGGAAACGGGTGATTTTTAAGGTCCCTTCCCACCCGAACCACCCAGTGACTTCCATGCCAGGTACAAATGATGATACTCTGCATGGTTTGAGGTGACCCCTGGAGAGCGGCCTTGGAGCTTTTTGCCAGGGGGAAACTTCATTTTGCATATTCCCAGTCCTTACAGAACCCCAGCCCCAGCTGGGGTTGTTTAGTCACAGCAGAGCTGTTCCAGAACTGCCAGAAGCCACACCAGGAGACAGCAGTGTGGTTATTCCCTTGCTGTTTCTGCACTCCCTTGTCCTCTCCCCTGCTCATTACCTGGGACACCTGATCTCCAGCTGCCCCACTTCAAATCTTGCATCTCTCAGGTAAAACTTGTCCCAGTTTTGCCTCAAATGGAGGATTTCCTGCTGCGTGAATCTGCTGCTCCTTCTCCCTGCACATGCCTCAGCAACTTGGAAGGGATCTGCCCACGTGCTGTGAGCCACACACTGGAACTTCACCCCTCCTGGAAGGACAAGGAAATGGGGGAAATCAGCTTTTACCCGTTTTTAAATCTGTTTCTTGTAATATTTAGTATTGGCTTTTATTTTAGTATTTTAACAGTCAATAGATACAAAAATTAAATGATACGCAAGCTGTGCTTCAAATCACTCAGCACTCCAATGAAACAACAGTGGGAACATCAACCAGTGCTTTTCTTTCCCAAAATTTTACAGTAACACAAAGTGGTTTATCATTTCGATCCACTTTTTAATCAGCTCCACATACGTGCTGCCCATTTTCCATGAAAGACAGATACATGAAAAAACTGAGACAGGCTGTACCCTCTTCACCTCTGAATTACACAAAGATTATATTAAATAAATGCTTTCTAACAGATCCACCTACTTCAGAACTTAAAGATCCTACTCTGCCTCAGGCCAACGTTGCCATGGCTCATTAGGTTCGCTACATAAACCAACATACAGCTTCACAGCAAAGATATGATGCCAAAATACAGCTTCACAGTGAAGAGATACTTCTCTCACAGGGATGTGGGAAAAAATTAAGTATTCCCTGTAAGAACAGTAACTCTGATATCTGCAACAGGATGAAGATGAGTTTTGAGATAATCCCACTGTACACAGGTGGAGGGTGAGTTAGGAAAGAGAGTGCTTAATTTAGAAATTCAGAATTTATTTACAAAAATCACTTAAAAAAAAAGGAAACAACACAAAATTCTCCTCCTGGATATATTTTACTCTGCCAAAACACTGCAACTGATCATTAAATGCATTTACACATATTACAGATTCATTTTCATATACAACGTCAAGGCGTCAGGAGAAGAGATTATAAACTAAGCTGTTTTAAAATAATGAAACTGCCAGGTTTCCCTTGGCATCCCCTCATTAAAATTAAGGTAAAACACTTTAGCAGTGAAACAGACACAAGAATTCTAACTTCTCTGAAAAGGTACATGAGAATGAGCTTCTTTAATCAGACCTAACTCAGCAGCCCAACTGAAACCTGTACCAAAGCAATTATCAGTATTCTCTTCGATAGAACTGCAAAGTCATTTTCACAGTTTCACTTTCAAAGACGGTTAATTTAACAAATGAAGATGGAGGGTGAGGGAAGGAGCAGCAACAGAAGAGGCTGCAAATTCGCGGGTTTTTAACAAAGAACTGCATTTGAAAAGGGCAGCATATTTCCCCTCTCCCACGGTATTCCCCTTCTCCCACATTTCCCAGGAATCTCAGAATACAAATGCTTCCCCACTTCCACCACACTAATCACCACGAGAAAGTTTAACACACAAAAAAGTTTAATAACTCTTGACAGAAGAGTAACAAATGCTAATCATTAATATCCCCTGCTAGGCTAAATTAATACAGAGTTGCCCAGCTTCAGATACAGGTGGGTTTTTTTCTTTTTTTTTTTTTTGATTTTGCACAACAACTGCACCTATTTTCAACATGCTGACTTTACCATCAGCATGAACTACTGAAGAGATTTGAAGAGAAAAATCCTGTCCTCAATCAAACCAGGAAAATTCAACTTTCAATGTGAGCCAGAATGGGAACTTTACCCAGCTGGTTTTATCTCCATATCACAACTGGACTTCAGTCCCCTATAACGCGAACTTGAATTCTTGGTAACGTGTTCATATTCTTGACAACGTGTGGTAGTAACTGAAATAAAAAAAAAAAACAAAAACCCACACCAAAACATTGCTGTTTTCCTCAATTTAAAAACAAATTGGAAAGCGTACTGAAGGAAATTCATCCCTGAGTAACGAGACATTTAAAAACTGCATCTTATATTAACAGTCACTGCAATATTCTATGACATCAACACTATGAACAGGAAGCAACAGAACTTGTCACAGTCCAACATATTTGCAGCATTGTTGCATTGATCCCCGTGATCTTGGTTAATGAAACTGAAAGGGAACATGGGGAAATAGGATGAATAGAAATAGTGTCTTTATTATTTTAAGTTGGATGTCGAATTGAGAGCTAAACCGTGCTGGATCCCAGAAAACTCAGAGCAGTGATGGTCAGCAACTGGCTTCTTTGGATGTCCAGAGGATTTTCACGAGGTGTCTTCAGCCAAACAAAAGGAGGAGAACGATGGTAATGGAGTTCAGTGCTATTAATGGCACTGCAGAAGGAAAAAGAAAAGAACATCAATTCTGAAAGCTTTCCTTTCCACATCACAAAAACGACCGTGCTTCGTATTATCTTCAGAGAATACCCTGGGAGAAGGAGCAGAATCAATCAAAAAACTAAAAAATACACTTAAACTTTCCTACGCAAAATCGGGACTAGGGGAAGGAGCCAGGCTCAAAGCCTAAGATACTAAAAATTAGTAGGAAGCAACAGCAGAAATATTTTTCTATGGCCTGTTTTAACTTTAATCCAGAGACTTGAGTTCTGTTTTAAGTTTAACCCAGATATCTCTTTCTCCAAATGAAATTAAACCGACTCAAAGTCAGTTGCTGTCCTTGGCTTTACTGTGATTTAGAATAAATGTTTTTCCCTTGGTGGTGGGCCTGAGAGGTAAGATTTGCTACTTCTTCTCTATCATCACATAAAAAAGGAATTTTTGCTGTGCTTTATAATAAAAAGCTATCAGTAATTTACAAATAAAGCATATTTTCCCTCCATCTTCTGAGGCACAAAAGCCTGGCTTACTTCAGGATCCCTGAAATCACATTTCCCTCACCAGGTACTTGCCATAAAACTGAACTTAGACAAGGTGAAGCTAATTGCACACTTTGATTGACCACTGAGATTCCCTCCAGCTCCCAAACTCCAAGGGAAGACAAAACTCAGAATGGTAACAACAACTAAACAAACACAATATAATAACAATAACAACAACAACAATAATAATAATGATGTCTCCTCACCTCTCATGACAGTTCGTATTGATCGAATAAGGTTCATCAGCTGTGCTTTAATTCCTGGTTCCTCTCCAAATCCTCCAATCCCTTGGTCAGTTCCCCAGCCAACTGTGTCACGTAAAAACAGATAAACACTTTAGGAAAAAAAGCCCAAAACCATGAAACCAATGTTGTAATTTTAATGAACAATCCATCCTGAATATGGTTTACACTAACACTGAAAGGCAAACCACCAATTAGCTTTATTCCATGATCAGATTTTCATAGAATAGACTGGAAACTGTTAAACCTGATGTTAAGCAATGATAGATCCATGCTCCTGTAAAGGAAACCCTCAACTTTTCAACACACTACTATTCCCCAAGTGCCCAGAGAAACACCAGAATTCATCTGGGCTTCAAAAAGACACCTGCCAAAATTAACCCAAACCAACCACAGTCTGTCCACAGGCCTGAAAATAAAACAGCAAATCATTGCATATGAGGGTGAAGTGATGAAGCCTCAGCGCTGAGAAAGGAAAAACAGCAAGCACAACTTCAAAAGTCAGGATGATGATGACTTTGTAACTGCTATAAAAAAAAAAAAAAAAACTTTTGGGAAAAAATTGGGAACTTTTCCGAGCAGGACCAAAGTCCTGAAGGTTTTCAAAGCCCTCCAAGGGAGTCCTGACCCCTCTGCAGGGAGGTACAGCTACGGGATCAGAGATGTGTCCAGGGATTTCTGAGACCCGCTGGCACAGCCCTTACCAGTCGGGTGACGTGTGGAGCATGGAGCAGCTCTCTGTATTCCAGTTCCAATGCCCAACCTGCGAGTTCCTATTCTCCAGGGACTCCAGGGACGACTTTTGGGGGATTCCCCCCCTCCTTTTGTCTCCCTCGCTCAGCTGGCACCAGGATGAGGGTGGTTCGTCCTCTCCCTCACCTGCCTCGCCAGGTGCTGTTTCCCACTTGGATAAGCCTGGAGCTATTCCCAAGTCTCCCGAGGCCGACAAGTGGCTTCACTCATCCCGTTAGCCCCCACATCCCCCTTTTCCCGCAGCTGCTGCTCATCAGGAAAGCAAAAGGAAACCCCAAACCCACACCGAGCAGCTCCCTTGTAGCGATTCCAACTGGGGAACGGGAGATCACCCTTTGCACTCCTGCCAAAAATCCCAGCTCAGCCTGACGTGGAGAAAAGACGTGGAGAAAAGTCAGGATTCTCCAGATCAGGGAATTGGATTATCGGTATTTTTTTCCATGGCTTTGCAGATCTGTGATGGATTTTCTCTGCTTTGCACAGCTTTGGTTCCCCCGCTGAAGGACAAGGATGCCCAACCCCGAGGACCCCGAGGGCCGAGAAGCGCCATCTCATCAAAAAAACAGGCGCGGCGAGAGGAAGGAAAACCTTTGCACGGCACCAAACATCCCGACGGGCGTGGAACAGCGGGAAAGGGCAGGGGAAACACACAATTACAGGAAAAAAAAATAAAAAAATAAAAAAGAGAGAGAAAAAGAGAGAAAGAGAGAAAGAGAGAGAGAAAGAGAGAGAGAGAGAGAGAGAGAGAGACAAAGCTACGACGGGAGCGGCCGGGAACCCATCCCCAGATCCCAGACGAATTCCCAGATCCCTCCCCCGGGCCGCGCGGCCCTCCCGGCTCACCGTGCCGCAGGAAGCGCTCCTCGTGCAGCACGGCCACGGCGTTCACGATGAGCAGCGAGGCCTGCAGCAGCGAGTACAGCGTGAACGCCATGGCCCGGCGGGGCGGGGCCGGGCCGGGACCGGGATTAGGATCGGGATCGGGAGCGAAGCCCGAGCGGGACGTGGCGCGGGGCGGGGCTTATGGAGGGGCGGAGCTTTGCGGGGCGGGGTTTCGTGGGCGGGGCCGTCTCTCCGGGCGTCCGCGAGCTGAGGGGGCGGGGCTTTTGCAAGGGGGCGGCGCCTTGTCTACACAGTTTGGCGTAGGGGCGTGGCCTCGGGCAGCGCGCGGGGCTCGCCCCACGAGGGCGGGGGGGGCGGGGCTTCCCCCTCACGGCAGCCGCGTCCGGGCGCTGGGACCGCCCGGGGATCCTTGGGGGCCCCTTGGATCCGTGGATTCCTCGGAGCCCCCTGAATCTCTCGGGTCTATAAATCACCTTGGAGCTCCCTGGATCCCCCCTTAAGCCCCGTGGTTGCCGCGTGTCCGTTTATTCCTCAGATCCGTGGATCCCTTGGAGCCTCGCGGGTCCCTTGGATCCGTGGATTCCTCGGAGCCCCCTGAATCTCTCGGGTCTATAAATCACCTTGGAGCTCCCTGGATCCCCCCTTAAGCCCCGTGGATGCCGCGTGTCCATTTATTCCTCAGATCCGTGGATCCCTTGGAGCCTCGTGGCTGTGGGTCTCTCGAACCCATGTGGATCCCTCGGAGCTCTCTGGGTCCTTCGCAGCCCTGCGGATCCCTCGGATTCATGGATCCCTCGGGTCCATGGATTCCTCAGATCCATGGATTCCTCGGATCCATGGATCCCTTGGAGCCTCGTGGGTCCTCGGGTCTGTGGGTCTCTTGGAGCCCTGTGGGTCCCCCGGAGTTCCATGGGTCCCTCAGATCCATGGATCCCTCGGAGTCCCGTGGGTCCCTCAGAACCCTCTGAATCCTTCGGGTCTGTAAATCCCTTGGAGCCCCCTGGATCCCTCAGATCCGTGGATCCCTTGGGTCCATGGATTTCTCAGATCCATGGATCCCTTGGAGCCTCGTGGATCCTTCAGGCCTGTGGGTCCCTCAGAGCCCTGTGGACCCCTCAGATCTGTGGATTCCTTGGGCCTGTGAATTCCTCGGGCCTTTGGATCCCTCAGAGCTGTGGATTCCTCATGTCTGTGGATCACTCGGATCTGTGGATTCCTTGGTGCCCTGTGGGTCCCTCATGTCCATGAGTCCCTTGTGTCCATGGATCCCTTGGGTCTGTGGATCCTTCTAAACCCCATGGGTCCCTCGGAACCCCCTGAATCCCTCGGGTCTGTAAATCCCGTGAAGCCCCCTGGATTCCTCGGAGCCCCGTGGATCCCTCGTGTCCGTGGGTCACTCAGGTCTCCGGCTCCTTCGGGTCCATGGGTCCCTCAGATCCATGGATCCCTTGGAGCCTCGTTGGGCCTCGAGTCTGTGGGTCTCTCGGAGCCCCATGGATCCCTTTGGAGCCCCATGGATCCCTTTGGAGCCCTTGGTGTCCATCGGATCCGTGGACCCCTCGGAGCCTTGTGGATCCGTCAGGTCTGTGGATCCCTTGGAGCCTCGTGGAAACCTCGGAGCTCCAGGCCTGAATCCCTCGGATCCGTGGATCTCCCTGAGCCCCGTGGAACACTCGGAGCCCCCTGAATCCCTCGGATCCGTGGATCCCTCGGACCCCCTGGGTCCCTCGAAGCCCCTGGATCCCGGCACAGGCGGTGACTCGTGGGAAGCTCCGCTCTCCGCGTACCGAGTGTCCTCGGTCTCGGTGGCTGCGGGAGGAAGGCATATCCTCCTCCTCCTCCTTCTCTTTTTCCTCCTCCTCCTCCTCCTCCTCCTCCAGTAACGCAGTAACGTGGCGTCTCCCGGCGGTGGGAGCCGGCAGGGAGACATCGCCCGGCGCGGGGCAGCCTCCGTGCCCACCCCTCCATTAGTAAGCTGGTATCAGTGGAATTAATCAAAAACATATGCAAAAATAGGCGTGTTTATATTTTTATTTAATCTTACAGACAGCATTTCCCCATCCACCCCCCATTCCCCCCCCCCCCCCCCCCCCCCCCCCCCCGTGTTTCCTCAATATATATTGATTTTCGTTATATCCCCGACTAAGGGTTCTAGCAGGAGCTCAGCCCAGATCCCAGATGTCGTTTGTCCAACATGTAAATGATGCAAAATCCAGAAGAAAACAATTATCTTTTATGTTGGATTGATCAGGGCTTCTGGGCGGTTCTGCAGTCAAATAACAAAAATAATAGCAACTGGAGCTCAGGGATACTGTATTGAGGGATATTGTTATTGAGGCACAAATAGGCATTTTTTTTCCCCTTGCATCCCTCAATCCTATTGGCTGAAGGGGGTCATTTGCATAATCACTCTGATTTTATTTCTCAGTAATCATACAATACACAAACCCCTTAACTCCGGATGGTTGATAGCTTTTATTACTCAATCAGGGTACAATGATTTGCATAATTACCATGCTTTGATGGTTATTAGACCCATTCACTGCGACAGAAATCATAACTTTGTGCTTAGTGTGGTGGACTGGAGAGACCCCAACCTCCACTGTTTGCTCTGCCACAGATTTCTGATCTGGGCAAATTATTCACCATTTATCAATATTACATCTCCATGTTAAGACCCACTCACGAGCAAACATGAGATGATCTGATACTTCAGCAATTAATTAAGTGTTGGGAGCATATAATCAATAGATGCTCAGACACCGCCTGGACAAACCCACACTTCAGCTGCTTCTTATCTTCATCTTTCTTTTCAAAAATACTCACTTTGGTATAGTCAGTGGCATAATATTGTGCTTCTTAATAATCATCACTATTAAATAACATCACAATTTAATAACTGGAACCAGAGGCAAGAGAAAGCACCCCATCATCAGAGCTGTAGCATATTTTGTTACTAATTTACCCGCAAAATTAACTATTATGAAATAAGAGAGATAGAGCAGAGAACAAAAATCAAACATATCCATCAGATTAACTTCACATATGTCAGGAGCTAGTGGGGATACCCGAGTGTACTGGCACTTGCAAGCTCAGAAGTTCCAACCTAACTTCTTTATTTCTCATCTAGGTTTATAAATTTGGTATAACTGCAAAACTCCTAATAACTGTCCATTTAATGTTTTTAATGGAGCCATTTCTAGGTGCCCAGGGCCTCCCAAAATTTGACCAAAATTTCAGGTTTTTTATCATTCAAGTCATCTTTTTCCATCCATAAGTAATAAAAAAAAAAAAAAGACTGAATTTTGCCAAACTCCATACATGCAGAGAAAGTCAATACTGGGCTGAAAGATTTCATCCCAAAGGCCATCACCATTTTTTAAAAAGTTGTGAGTGGTGGCATATAATGGTCTCACAAATAAAGCTGACTCTTGTTCTCAGATACAACTTAGGGCATTATGGCAGTAATTCTATAATTAAATACAGATAAAAAGGGGGGGGGTCACTAACAGGCTTGTCTAATAACCATCATCATCAAGTAGCATTTCCTGGGCTACCTCCTTGCAGTATCCAACCTATAAATAAATGGTAACCTCAGTGAAGAGCTAATGCTTAGAATTATGGCACCGAAAAAAAAAAAAAGAGGTTTTTACAATAACTGTACAAGTTATGGCTTAGTATTTTTACCCATAATTAAGATGTATTTCCAAAGAGCAGCTGCTGTCAAGCTTACATAAACTTGACATGATTTTCCCCTTTGTAAAATCCATCATGGCAACTTAACAACCACAGAGTCTCATCTCTGAACAGCCTTACATGGTTGAAGGGAAAACCAGACAAAGTTGCTTGCATTAAAAGGAAAGGGTTTTTTTTTTTCCCCCCTTCATTAAGGTGTTACATTTCAGTGCAATAAATTCCTGTGCTGTCATCTGCAGGGTGCAGTCAATCACCATAAAGGAGATTTTTAAACCACCTTACAGATGCCAAAGGATTGAACTTCGGCCTGGTGAAGTATTGTGGAGACCTTGGTATTTTTTATTCTCAGTTTATCATTCAATATCGTCAGACAGAGCACATCTCACTGGGTCTCACTGTCCCCTGCAGAGAATTGGGCTTGTTCCTTGTGAGTTTTCAGGATTACATTGGGTTATTCCTGGTGAGCAAATACCAGGCCAGAGGAAGACTTGTCATGACTTCAACCCTTGCTACCACCATCTTCTGAGTTTATTTTCTGAACTAGTTTTAGTGATTTCCTTCTTTAGATATTTTACATACCCAGACATATTCAGTAAGAGTGTTTTTGAGACACAGGAAAGGCTGGAAATCAGCATAAACCATCCCAAGCTGAAAGTGAAGAAATGTGTTTTGTTGGCAGCAACTTTCTTACCAACTTCTACCGTGAGTAACTCCATTAACCGAGAAAACCTGTGCATGTGAAAAAATTTAGGTTCTGTGGCTCAGTCAGGTGCTATAAATAAATCCCATTGCTACATTTCAGAGTGGAACTAAAGCCTTTGTCAACCCTTGCTCATCAGCACTGTCAAACTCCTGTAAAGGTTAATGATGCACCCGACTGATGTAACACATCTCTTGGAAGCACAAATTGAGTAGCTGATTTAATGTCCAGATGATTGTTTTGACCACCAAAGCTGGGAATGCAACAAGATTTTGTACAGTTGAGAGAACCTATATCTGGTTCTTACCCTTCAGCAGCTAGGTACAGGAAAGGTCCTTGTCTTGTCCGTGAGTCATGGATCATCTCTGCCCTCGCTTGTTTGGGAAGTGAGGAGCTGCCCCCTTCAAAAACACAGCCTGCCAGCTTTGCTAAGGTTTGTACCTTGAGAGAACATTAATACAGCGTCATACACAAAAGGTCTGCCTGGGGATTGATGAACAAAATGAAAACAAAATTTTGAATTTGCACCCAAATTTATCGATGCTGTTTCTTAAGTTTATCGTACTTGACTCTGTAACTGTAACAGCCTTTAAAAGTCAGTTGTTGCCTAGTGCTGACACACAAACGCACACACATGCTGTTGTTCATCTTGGTATCATCACTATTCCACTGTTGTCATAGAATCATGGAATGATTTGAGTTGGAAGGGACCTTAAAGGTCAACTCTGTGACATTACCTTGTTCTATGATTATTGGCATCGCTTGTGTTGTGTTTTTGCTGGAATGC